CAAGACCATTTTCCATGTTTTGGCAGGACACTTTCTATGAAGAAGGTTAGTATCACAATGGTACTTTTGGAGAAAGACTAAATGGATACACGTTTGGTGCCCTTGGTGGAAACCACATGTGTTCTCCAGGCCTCATCTTCCCACAAGTGTAAAGTTTGTTTTTCCTGCCCAGTAGGTGTAAACTTTGTAAATACATGTAAATAAATGTTCCAGCCTTCATGGCCATCTCCTACTCCAGAGTTGAAAAGGGGCAAGATGCAGATACCCATAGTCTCATCAAAGTGCAGCACAAAGTGAAGTGAAAATGCATGTACTGCCTGCTACACTCAACCAACCACAGCTGGAATAGGGACAGATCCCTTGTTTTTTGATCCTTTGCTTCTTGTGGGTATTACCAGCTATTTCACAGATCACATGAAGCATCTTGTGACACAGATGAAGCCAAATTACTATGTCAGGAAGCCCTGAAGTTTGTTCCAAAACCAGGCTGTTGCTAGCTGAGCTGAGATTCTCTTCTCCACCTCCCTCTGTCCTCAGCAGATCATCTTCTTCTCAAAAATCACTTGTGACTACAGGAGCCTACTTTCCTCATCCTGTTTTTCCTAGGATGTTTCCACTAGCTCCAAAAGGACAACAAAACCAAGAGACGACTGCTTGCATAGAAATTTTTTCTCTCCAAGCAGGCCCCAGGCTTGGACCTCTCTCTGCTTCAACAGTTCTAGAACAAGGAGTTGCTTAATTTTTCTGCCCATTAGGGTCCTTTATCTCTTCTCTTGGTGCAAATGAAAGCAGAAATTGCACAAGGCAAAGGTAATACACTGTCATGTGAGGGATGCCACCCCTCAGCCCTGAACTACCACCTCCAGAGCTCATGTGGGACATGTGTACCTGGGTGTGGATGATAAAATTTGCATACCATTCCTTGTGCAACATCAGTGATAATCTCTTCTTTGCAATAAATTATTTACTTCCCTATGGATCTTATTGGCAGCATGTTTTCAGAGCTCCTTGTCTCCTTGGGCTATGGTGGCATATTCCAAGCACCTACTGGGGGAACTGAAACCTGGCTGTGCTGACCACACCAGGAGGGATGACTGAACTTCCTTCCATTCTCTCTGTCCTGCTTACCCTATCACAGCTCAGAACACAAGTTTGGGATCAGCATACTGTAGGTATGCTGTGCCTGCCTTGTCTCCTGCTTCTCCTGACCGTGCCATATCATCGCAACTCCTTGGCTTGACCTCTGACCTGCAACCCCATGCCCAACCTGGCTGTGTTCTCTAGGTCAAAAAGCTGACCTTGGTTATGGTCACCAGACCTGCTCTACTCTTCTTGTTTGGGGACCCTAGGACTGCCTTTTCTTTTGGGCAAGGGCACTGCTCTGCCTTGACATGCCATCACCCACCCCTCTACAGACCACTGCTGCCATCTCCAATGCATGCGGCCCTTAATGGGATGTGGATATGTCCTGTGTTTGAGTGTCCTGCTCACCAGATATTCCTCCAGCAGCATGGATGCCCAAGGTCACACCAATGCCAAATCCCAAATTGATGCTCAGATGCTCTCCAAATTTTCCCCTTCCTAGTACCACTTGTGCCACAGAAGACAAGCCAAAAACCTATGTAAAAAGAAAGAGAGAAAGGAGCATTAAAAATATTGTTATTGCTGTGGTGGAGTGAGAGTCTTTGCTGCTTTTTTTTGCAGTAGTAATAAACTCCCAAAGATGGGAAGTCTCTGAGGTGCCCATAATCAGAAGACAAAGAACACCCATCCCCTGAAAAACCTGAAGCAATACCTGGGATATACCTTGTTGGTACCCATCAGACCAAACTACGGACTCTCATTATGGTTGGGTGTGGGGATACAATCCCCAAAAAGGAGACTGAGCAAATTCTTACTGTCTTTCTTTTCATGGTGTGCAAAGTACTGACTAAAAATTTAGTTTGGGCAGCATACAGCTATTTGCCAAACCTAATTTTGGTAGCATTCCACTGAAACACAAGAAAGGAAATTCTGGTTTGACTTTTCTATTCAACACATATACCTTCAGTTTGAAAACAACCAAAGTGTCAATATTATTTTAGTGACTAAAAGAGAGACAGGGAAAAAATTAAAAGTGAACTCTCTCTATCAAGAAAAAACATATTCAAGAAATTGCTCTGTCCTGAAAGTACATTCTATCTTACTTTTTTAATGTGGTAAGATGGGGGAAAAAACAGTTCATTGCACCCTCTAGCACTAAAATCTGGAGAAGAGCAAGGCATCTTGATGTTTCTGCCTCGCAAACCACTTAGGCTATAGAAAGTGCATCCTGTTCCTTGAACTGCACTTATATTTATCTAGGGTGACATGTCTTTCAAAGACAAGAAAGTCAATATGTTACCCAGCATCTAAACTTCTCTGGCCTGTACTGTTTTGACTGTAGTCTTTACTGACTACTCTGGCTGGGTTGAAATTTTTCTTCTTGTGTCTTCTTCCCCTCATCACTTTCAGATATCACCCAAATCCCCTGTTCCCCAGAGGCACTGTTCTTACCTCTCTCACATACACAGACCACACTCAGTGCTCTGTACAGAGCTAGAGCCACCACAGTGAGAGCCCTTCTCCGTCTGCCTCAGCAAAATCCCCCAAAAGCGAGATCCAAGAGAAGACAAATGCACAAGGCACAGGTTTTGCAGGAGAGCACACAGGTGCAGAGAGAGGGGTGCAGGGCAGGAGACATGACTGTGCATGAACAGCACTATCCTGAAGAAAACACAGGACAAGTCACAGAATCTGTTTTTCAACACAGATCCAAACCTCTGTTGTCTTCCTGTATTGTCAGAGTTCCAAAATACCACTTTTTTTCCCTTTTCTTTCCTAGTCGTTATTGCTGTTTAGTCCTGCTGCCTGGTTCCTCTTTTATCAACATTGTGTATCCATCAAAGTGAGACCCCCAGGGGGGACTGCTGTTGTCCAAATAACAGCCATCCAGGCATCCTGGAGAGGCATGCAGCACATTCCTGGTTGCACTGAGTACCAAGATGCTGCTGCAGAGTTGGGTGCTGGATGCTGTGTTTTGATGCTGAATGCTGCTTGATGGAGGTCCATGTGCAATGCCCTTCTTTCACTCTATTCTCTCACATGGATTAGTGAGGAAAGAGCCAATGTGAGCTGTAGGCTGCAAAATCTGCCTTGGACTGTCAGATTTCAGACAAAAGCCTCCACCTCATGTTGTTTCCCAGAGGCACCCCTGACAGGACATCCCTGAACTTGTTATCACCTGGGAACTTCAACCACCAAATATCAAAGGGAATGGAAAAAGGAAAATGGTTTGCTCAGCTACTGCTGAAGAATCACAGCTGTCCATACTTTGACTTACTATGGGTGCTGGGTTAATGGTTGGTCTCTTTCCCAACCTAAACAAGGTTTTTCCCAATCAAAACAATTCCATGGTACTGTCATCCTATCCCACCTGCTTCCCTCTCTCCCAGCACTCACCTTCCGCTCCTCACTTCAATTTTTTGCACCAGAAGGTTTTTGACAGATGGCCTACCTCATGGGAAACTGCCACTCTGTCAAAGTAGATGGGTGAGCAGTAGCAACCAGCTGCTGAGCGACCCTGGGGATGTGGTAGGAAACCACGGACCTTACAAACTGCTGCTGCAAATGACTGCACGCACACACACGCAAACACACACACACACACAGACGCATGTCTGGCCCCATCTCCTCCTTACCATAAGGATGAACATCCCCAGTGCTTCTGCCAGCATCTCCCTGACAGTGCTGTTACGAATTGTGAGTGCCTTCTGAATCTTCTCCAGCATGTTCTTCCTTAACTCGAGAGAGCAGCCTGTTGTGACAGTACACTTCATTGCTCTGAGCCAAGTTACCCTTTGAAACTTGGCACTGTCTGTTCACCCCCAGACACCTTCATTCAGTTGGTTAACGATGAACAAGCCAATAAAGCAGCAGCTAGCTTCAAAGTCGTCCCAGGCACACATGCCATCCTTTAAAAGCTATATGGTAAGAATGCAATATTTCTGTTGCTGGGGCATTGCAGACACTGTGCCTCTGCCCAGAAGCAGCCTATCCCCAGAACAGTGGAGCTGTAAATAGCCTTGGTGTGCTCCTAACACCTGTCTTGCTCTGTAACCTTTTCCACAAGAACTGAACAGGAATTTTGGCTCTGCTCTGCATTGTAACCTACTGGCTGGTGGCAGGTGGGATTAGGACCATTTGCCTGTGGTTTGCAGTACTATTTGGATGCCCATTCTGCAGTGAGGATGCTCTGTCTGGAGCTCGTGTGCACTGCTGTCTGCATCTGGGAAGAACACAATGCCTTAAGCGTTGCTTCAGTTTGAAGATTTGCTCTCATTGAATGCACCTATGTCTGCAGCTGCCATCACACTAGTGGAGAGCCTTGCCACCGGCCACCCTGTCTGTCCTCTCATGTGGGACAAGGAGAAACCAATCTCAGCAACAGTCTCCAGAGACCTTAAATCTCATCTGGCTGTCTGAGAAGAACCATTACTGATTCATCTTGAACCACTCCTGATTCCTCCTCCCTCTCCTGATTCCCTCTGCTTATATCCCTGTTCACCAGGTGCTCTTACCTCTCCACGGTGAAAAGGTTTTAATACCTTTGCTTAGTCATGGGAAAACTTCACTGAACAATCAAGACCTTTTCCTGCGAGCCTTTTCTGGTTCTTTGCAGTTTTTCTTCACCTTCCTCTCAACCTGCTGCAGCTTCTCAGCGTGGCTCTGGAGGGGACAGCTCTGTTGAGGTTACCAGCAGCTGCCCTGACAGGGATATGGTGCTCTGGTCATGCTGCCCCTGGTGTTGCCTTCCTCTGCTCTGTTGTGTGGCAAAAGTTCCTGAGGTTTTTTTTCACCCATAGGGCACTCAGCAGTTGTATGGAAGAATCTGGCAAGCTCTTTCTCCTCTCTGCTCCATAGATGATTGTCTGTCTTCTGGCAGGGAGAGTTTTATGGACTGGTGTAATCCCTCCTCCGGCAACAGATTAGCTATTGACCTTGGTGAACACTTGGCTAAATAAGGAGTAAATTACTAGTCTGTCTCTTGACACTAAGGATCATTTCATTATGACAGATGATAATCATGTTGCTTTCAATGGTGTTCCCGGACCATATTTTCATGTGGGAAGGTTTTTGTCCTATGAGTCTGTGAGCTATGCTGTGGCACAGAGAAGTGCCAGATAAATCTTTCTGGGTCACTTCATTATCTGCCATGTGAATGTTTTTGTGGAGGACAAACATGGGCTCTGGAACACCAGGTCAGAATGGTGACAAGAGCCTCAAGTTTCTTTTGCACATGGTAATTTCCAGCTGGCTTTACATGTCAGCTGAGATTCTTGTATCTGCATATATTGGGGATCACACAGCCTTTCTCAGATGGAGTCAGTCAGTGTCACCCACAGTTGGACCTCTTTGCCACTCCTATGTCTCAGGGAGCCTTTCAAGTAGATTCCTTCCATGTGGACGAACAGTGAAGCTGCTGTGTCTCTGATAGGCTTTGTCTCCTGAATTTGGGCATTAACTATAGGCATTTCCATGTTCTGATTTGGGCTGAAAAATGGACAGGTAAGTTCTGGGAACACCAGTCTTCTCAGGGAAAAAGGCAATCTCAGTTCTCAACAGAAATCTTTGGTTTGGTGATAATATTTGCAGCATAATTCCTGATATTACCACCAAATTCCCCAAAACTCCGGCATGCTTCTAGGATGGCATCATGAATCACTAGATACGTCCCTTGCCACTGCTTGTTCTTTTGTACAGGTCATTCCACAAGATGGCACTGAGGCATTAATTTCTTCCTTAAAACTGCTCTGAACGGTTCCTCTGTCCTCTGTTGGCCACTGAAAATATGAGGACTCTTTTGTTTTAGGGTTTCTCTGGGCATTTTTAGACATTAAAGTGACCTGCTAGTGTTCAAGGAGTGTAACAATAACAAAACCAACACCTTTCCATAGGTCATGTAGGTCAGAGCACCTCTGTTCTGACAGCACACAAAACCAAAGTTTGTGAGCCTGCACCTGACACCTTCCACTTTATAATCAGCAGAGGCAAACAGGTAGCTCCAAAGAGCATTTAATCCCCACCTTAAATAAGCATCTGAGACCAGACCTACAAGTCACACTAGATACTGGCACTTTCCCTCCAGTGTCTGCTCAGGGACATGGAGTGTTCAGCTCCAATGTGCACACCCACATGAAGGTGTCTACTGCCTGGTGAGATGGACTGCTTCTTCTCGCTGCATCCAGATGCGGTGATCTTGAGCAAGTGCAAACAGCCGTATGAGTCAGCCAGGGGCTGGACTGTGAATGTCTGCTGGTTGCCCAATGTGACCTGCTCATACTTGCATGGTTTCACTTACCTGCAGGGCTGACAAGGATCTCTGGGGTCACTAAATACAGCCCCTACTGACATACACAGCCACACCACATCTACCCTTTGATGACCTGACCAGTCTCCATTTTAAGGGTAGGTGCTTTTTTGCCCAGCTCCTTGTGTTGGACTTGTTACCAGAGCTTGCTGCTCTGGAGATTAGACACTTTCCTCTAATTTTCAGCCAGATTCTCAATACATTTATCCATGCCGCAGCATTAGCCCATCACAGTCATGAGTTAACTTATTTCTTACAGGTGCTACCCATTAATGTGTTCCTGTAAGGTTTGTTAGAAGAGTGTTAGCTGCTCATGCTTAGCTCTGTACCAGCTCCTGATGTTCACCTTGATTTCCTTACAGGTTGAAACTTCACTCAACATTGACCCTACAATGATTTTACGAAATTTTCCACTGCACATTAAGCAGACACCTGCTAAACCAAACCCATTCTCTTCCCAAAAGCAGTCATGCTTTTAGCACTACTAATAAAGGTCTTGGTTTGGAAAGGAAAGTTTTGGCACAGTCAAGACCCACTAACTCTGCTGGTGTTGATACCTGTGGTACTGAGGAACTGAGGGAGTAACCCACCTGGGTTCTGCTAGAGCAGCCCTGGGAATGATGAGCACCTAGGGACTCTGGGGCATTATGCAAGGAGTAACTTCTCTGACTCAGTTTGAGTACACATGCTTCCTCTGTGCCCAGGAGCTCATTTATCTCTTAATTGTGCTAATCACACATTGCCACTCCAGGTGGAACATTGTCACTCCATTTGCTCCAGCCCTGCTTGGTGGAGCATTTTATCCCCAGAGGCTGAGAGGAACATCAGCAGACAGCACAGCAGAGGAGCTCCTCACTGTGGACAAGAAAAACTTGATCCTCAATCAGACCAAAGGAATATGGCACTGAGATGCCCTTTAGGAGGCAAGACCCAGTCAGAGAGATCATTACAGCACTGGTGTGACCTTAGCTGTCCAGGAGAGACCCCATTTGACATATCGCAGAGCACCAGCTCCCTATGGTCTCACACTAAACACTCATGTCTATCTGTCTCCTTCTCCTCTTTATGGATGGCAGGTACCAAGTAAGTCATAGACACCCACCCCAGGTACTTGTCTCTCAGCAGATGGCTTTGCTTGCTATACTTTTACCCTGCTCTCCGTTCCCAGGATACAAGCCTCCACGGCCTTTCACAACACCACACACCTTTCACCCACACGTCATTATCCCTTGCCCTGAAGCTGGCCTAAGGTTCATCACCTGCACATGCTCCTTTCCTATGATACCAGGCTAGCTCTTAGCAACTGGGCAGATGTGGGAGGTGGAGGGGCAAACAAGGATGTGATGGCTCAACATTTGGATTCTGCTTTGGTCCACAGCTCTCCACTTCACTCCCTGGGAGCACAGTGCTATATTGCCCTAGGCTGCTACTGCTTACTCAGCTGGAGGTAATCCATGAGGTGATGCTGTCAGCATAAGCAGAATTACATGGCTTTATTTGTCTTTAGAGAAAGAGCGGGATTGTACATGAAGGGGTTGTCAGGGGCGGTGCTGGCCCCATTGCTGGGTAGCATAGCAGAACCCTCCCAGGTGCCAGGACCTACCCACACCCACATGCCCTATGTTGGGCCACACTCTCCTCTTGCACAGTCTGGCTTATCAGACAGAATCAGGTCATTCTTATACACAGGAAAGCATGATGGGTTTTGAGGCACCCCACTAGCTTTGATCTGTGCAAAGATATGGCAAGTCTCCCCCACATTTAACAGATATTAAACAGAGACTGGAATGGAGGCACAAAGGTAGCTCAGGTCATAGAATCATAGAACGATAGAATGTTAAGGGGTTGGAATGGACCTTGAAGATCATCTAGTCCCACCCCATTCTGCCATAGGCAGGGACACCTCCCACTAAACCAGGTTGCTCAAGGCCTTATCCAACCTGCCTTTGAACACTTCTAAGGTTGGGGCATCCACCACCTCCCTTGGCAACCTGTTCTACTATCTCACCAGCCTCACAGTAAAGAATTTTCCTCTAATATCTAGCCTAAATTTCCGCTCTTTCAGTTTATACCCATTACTCCTGGTCCTATTACTACAGTTCCTGACAGAGTCCTTTTCCAGCATTCCTGTAGACCCCATTCAGATACTGGCAAGTTGCTATGAGGTCTCCACACAACCTGCTCTTCCCTTATCCACCTTTGAACCCTTCTAAGGTTGGGGCATCCACCACCTCCCTTGGCAACCTGTTCTACTATCTCACCAGCCTCACAGTAAAGAATTTTCCTCTAATATCTAGCCTAAATTTCCGCTCTTTCAGTTTATACCCATTACTCCTGGTCCTATTACTACAGTTCCTGACAGAGTCCTTTTCCAGCATTCCTGTAGACCCCATTCAGATACTGGCAAGTCTAAGGTTGGGG